GAGACGGAAAAATGTTTTTTTAAGAAGATTATACTTTGTGTTGGAGAAACCCCTGCGAGGGCAAACGTATATGGATGTTTAAATAAAAGTGGACAAAGAAGCCCTAAAACAGTGAAAAGCGAGTGGCGGTGTCCTTAATGTGCTACCATTGAAAGCTAAATCTCACACTATGTAAATAAAGGATTTATAAAAAAAGGGGGACACCTTCCAATGTGGACTCCTGCTCAGATAATAACTGTCCCCTTACTTTGGAGAGAATTGATCACTTCCTGGTGGGTCTATAGGACAGGAAGTGAAGGTCCTGGTGGGTCTATAGGAAAGGAAGTGAAGGGAAACCTCTGTAATCAGACACAAAAGGCACCCCCCCAAAAAAAACTGACGGGTTTCCTTACTCTATCCAAAACTAAACTGACTATAAGACTATATATAATAATTGATCATGTGACTATATAGCAGGCAGATACTTCCACTTAGCACTTGGAAAGTGGAAAATAAGGGGGATCTGCATGTCTATCTTAAAAGAAAAGGCAAGAGGTAAGACTCCAGCATTCCTTCAGTCACAGTTCTACCGGCTCCTCTCCTGGACTGGAATGGCTTCCTCTGATTTCACTGCACACTGTGAGCTTCTCATAATGTGCATTAGAAGCTGCAGCAAGTCAGATAGCGCTCACCTTTTTCCCAGGCTGGAGGGCATCCAGTTTCATGTAGCTTGTTCCTCCCCAGCCCCCAGCCTGACTGTCCCTGGCCTGTCCCTTTTATTCATTGAATTTCAGTTCTTTCAACTGGAGGCTCAGCATCACATGTCAATGTCACCTAGGGCAGTCTGCATGCAAATTCAGCCTGCCTAGGCACCCCCTCTACTCTAGACTGATATCTACCAATGAAGACATTTTGATATTTGCATATCTCCTCCCAAGTTATAGCCCAATGCTTTTATCAGAGCCGAGTACTGAGGGAAGGTGCTGCTGTGATGTTTTCTGGAAGCTATTTACAGCACTCTGCTGCCCCGTCCCACCACCCATGCTCTGCCTGCATTGGATAGAGAAGCACATAGACCCGGTGATGATATCACCAGGTCTAAACTAAAGTGTGTAAAGTAAACAGAACGCTTTTATTTCATTTCATTAGCACATTAATGAGGGTGGAAAGGGGGAACCACGGAATGCGAAATATAAGAAGATTAAACTTCAGCTCTAAAGCTCATTTCCCGGATTGATTCATCATTTCTTTGCCAGCATCTTCTCCCCTTATGTAAAATGTTCAGATTGCCTTTCTCTTCAGCCCAAAGAAGCCTTTCAATCCACGATCAAATCACTCATTGTTATCACAAATGCATTGATCTCTGGAGGCTAATGGGAGGGATCTAAGCATGCCCTATGCCACTATCAATGGAGTTAGGTGGGTGGCTATGTGGGGAAAGTCAGAAGGTAAGTCAGGAACACTTATACTAAAGTCGTTTTATCTGGAGTTCAGCTTTAATTAATTATAATGCTTGCAATACATATAAATGACAAGAATATATAAATACTGTATGTTTATGTGTGTGTATATATATATATATATACACACACCAACAGAGGTGTTACATTTGAAATAAATAAAGTGTTATGATTATATCTCAAGGAAGAAAAAGATGGTCAATATAGATTTGAAATCTGGGGTACATGCCTCTGAGATGATAATGTCCTCAAACGATTTTCCTGCACGGATGGAATGACATTGTGAATGATATCTGTGGCCATGCACAGTTAGCATACCATGAAGGTGAAGAGGGTACGTTCTTCTATAAAAGTGCTCGATGTCCAGTTTTCACAGAGGAATTGTTAAGGTGTGACAAGAACCGTGTCCACCAATCACCTTCCCTTGACCCAGGCCAACCTTGAATGGCCTTATTAATAATATTAAAGCTGAACTAAGATTGCATGTAATAATCTACTTTTTTGAGGTTGTGGATTTGGGGTTCTTGGGGTTTTCATGAGCTGTAAGCCATAATCATCACAATTATGACAAATCACGGCTTGAACTATCTTGCTTTGCATGTAATGAATCTATCTCATATATTAGTTTCACCTTTTAAGTTGGATTAGTGAAATAAATGAACTTTGCACGATATTCTAATTATTCGGGTTTCACCTGTATCTATATGCCACACTACACTCCTCCAATCATGGCCTCTCTGAAGAAACTTACAGCATGTCTCATGTCGCCATGAAGAAACCTATATCTCTTGTCTTAACGAACGAACCCATGCCTCGTGTCTATATGAAGAAACCCATGCCTCATGTCTCCATGAAGAAACCTATATCTCTTGTCTTAATGAAGAAACCCGTGTCTCGTGTCTCCATGAAGAAAGCCATGTCTCATGTCTCCATGAAGAAACCCATGTCTCGTGATCCATGAAGAAACCCATGTTTCGTGTTTCCATGAAGAAACCCATGTCTCGTGTCTCCTTGAAGAAACCCATGTCTCGTGTCTCCATGAAGAAACCCATGTCTCGTGTCTCCATGAAGAAACCCATGTCTCGTGTCTCTATGAAGAAACCCATGTCTCGTGTCTCCATGAAGAAACCCGTGTTTCATGTCTTAATGAAGAAACCTATGTCTCGTGTCTCCATGAAGAAACCCATGTCTCGTGTCTCTATGAAGAAACCCATGTCTCGTGTCTCCATGAAGAAACCCGTGTTTCATGTCTTAATGAAGAAACCTATGTCTCGTGTCTCCATGAAGAAACCCATGTTTCAGGTCTCCATGAAGAAACCTATGCCTCGTGTCTCTATAAAGAAACCCATGCCTTGTGTCTCCATGAAGAAACCCATGCCCTGTGTCTCCATGAAGAAACCTATGTCTCGTGTCTCTATGAAGAAACCCATGCCTTGTGTCTACATGAAGAAACCCATGTCTCGTGCCTCCATGAAGAAACCCATGTTTCATGTCTCCATGAAGAGACCCATGTCTTGCATCTCCATGAAGAAACCTATGTCTCGTGTCTCCATGAAGAAACCCGTGATTCATATCTCCATGAAGAAACCCATGTCTCATGTCTCCATGAAAAAAGCTACTGTATATCTCATGTCTCCATGAAGCAACCCATGTCTCATGTCTCCATAAAGAAACCCATGTCTCATGTCTCCATAAAGAAACCCATGTCTCATGTCTCCATAAAGAAACCCATGTCTCATGTCTCCATGAAGAAACCGGTGTCTCATGTCTCCATGAAGAAAGCCATGTCTCATGTCTCCATGAAGCAACCCATGTCTCATGTCGCCATAAAGAAACCCATGTCTCATGTCTCCATGAAGTAAACCCGTGTCTCATGTCTCCAATCCATTAAGAAACCTACTGTATGTCTCATGTCTCCATGAAGAAACCCGTGTCTCATGTCTCCATTAAGAAACCTATATCTCATGTCTCCATGAAGAAACCCATGTCTCATGTCTCCATTAAGAAACCTATATCTCATGTCTCCATGAAGAAACCCATGTCTCATGTCTCCATGAAGAAACCCATGTCTCATGTCTCCATGAAGCAACCCATGTCTCATGTCTCCATTAAGAAACCTACTGTACGTCTCATGTCTCCAGCTCTTCTCTCAAACTCATCCATGTTTAAGCAATTCCTACATAAACAAATTAATTGTTCCCTTGGTGAAGCTCTCACCACACGCCCGGGATGACAGCTTTTGGCATGAATAATGGAATTTTTGGGAAATTGGTTTTCTGCATAATAGTTCAACTTTTTTCCACTTCTGCTGACGTTTTCAATGTTGGATCCAAAATGTTTATGTGATCGAAATCTTCCCCAAATGTAAAACTCAAATTATAAGGGTTACCATCTATATAATTTGTGAATTTAGACCAGGGGTAGGCAACCTCAGCACTCCAGCTGTGGTGAAACTACAAATCCCATGAGGCATTGCAAGACCCTAAAGGCCACAGGCATGACTCCCATAGGCAGAGGCATGATGGGATTTGTACTTACACCACAGCTGAAGTGCCGGAGGTTGCCAATGTTTCTATCCTATCGTCCACCACAACGATCAGGACATTAGTGTACCTGGCAAAAAATGTGTATATGCTCCTTATATGGGGTTGCTATCTCCAAATATGTTGCTCTCTTCCCATCAACCCATAGAGAGGTTGGCAAATTTAGTGCCTATCAAAGCACCACATTTTTGGAGATCGAATTGCCCATCAAACAGAAAGAAACAGTGTGTTCACAGGAATCGTATTCCTTTAGTGAAATATCTCCTTCTCTTTCTCTGTTCCTAGCGTAGTGTAGATGACCTGCTTTATGTTGAATCTTTTTGGATGCAGCAGGTGCCCATTGAGGTGTATTTATTGCAGGCAACGCAGGTTCCTTAATGCGCCCCCCCCTACCCACTAAACCCCCCCCCATGGAGAATGGCAGACCTGCAGGCTGCATACAATGTCGCCGAGATCACTTGTACAAAACAAGGGGCGTCTCCCCCGCTGTACATTTAGCTCTGTTGTTATAGAAAAAAACTTCCCGCCCGAGCATTGGGAGATAGGAATTCCACACCCCTGGTGCCCCTCTACTCCTTGCTGCCCTGAGTCCGGGCCTTGGTTGGCATTGTGGGAAATCCAGCACTGTACGTGGCCTTTTCTTGTCAAAATTTTGAAATTTGGAGGCACTGCATTGGTATAGAAAAGGCCGCGTTTGACGCGAACACACGTCTACAAAGGCTCTAAAGCTTTTATGAGATCTCAGTTATTCTATTGTAATTAAATTGTAGCCCTTTATTCTTCATAATGGGTTTAATTGAAACAATTTGTATACTGAATTATGATATTGGTACATGTATGTAAGATTGCAGCCTCCTGTAAGGCCAGGGACCAATCCAAGCTTTGCTATATACTCCATAAAGTGCTGCAGAATCTGTCTGTATATGAATGAATAATAGAGAGAAAATCTGGAAATAATCCCAGAGCCCCCCCAGCTCCATTATGGATAAAGTAACCTTCCACCATCAATTCCAATCAGACTGCAGCCAGTTGATGAGGAGCTCCTGACATCTGGAAGCAGCACATCTGCAGCAGCCATAAAGCTGCTTTTGTTTCCCAGGGCTGCGGAGAAGAGTCAGGAAGGAATGTCCCCCCGCGGCCGCCGTCCCTCCAGCTTGCTACATTGTTGCAGATCAGCTGTGTAGGAGGAGAGGAAGGGGAGCCGGAGGACGGAGCCCGGCACTGAGCAGGTAAGGGGGATAGATGGAGGGGAGCACGGGGCCGGCCATCAATCTCAGCCATGGATCGGCCAGGGGGGGAAGCCTGGACACAGCTGCATGGAGTGTGCAGAGAGAATGTGTGCAGAGCGGGGGCCCCAATCCACTGCTCAGCGGGGCCCGGGGTGCAGCAACACTGCATCTGGCTGTGTGTCTATAGATCTGGGTGTCCATACATATATCCATCTGTGTGTTTATCAATACAATCGCCTTCACATCTCTATTATATGACTGCATGCCTCTGTGTGTCCATCACATACATGTATTTCCATATCTATGTGTGTGCTATGATTACATCTATGTGTGTGCTATGATTACATGCATCTCTCTGTCCGCTACTTGTTTCTGCCTACCTATGTATTTCTATATTTGTCATCATTACATGTTCTCTTCATTTTATGTGTGTTATGAATCTATCAATCTACATATCAGCCTATACATCAATATCAATGTATCTTTGTCATGCCTGTTATTCTATGATTGCATATTTCTGTCTGTCTCTCTGCCTCAGATCTATTTACTTCCATAGCAGGAATATCTAAATATTTATCTAAATCTCACTCTCACTCTCTCTCTCACTCTCTCCCCCCTGGTGCTCTCTCTCGCTCTCTTTCTCATACCCCCTCTGTCTGTGACACGCTGTAACATTTTGCAGCTATTTTTACTATTGGCGCCCTTTCCCCCATTAGAATGTGGAATTTCCTTTTCTGAAGCCTGGGATGAGAGCAGAGAGTCTCTGGAAGTGAGTGTCTGTCACTGCTGCATATTTGGGGTCCCGTAACAGGAAGTGGGCCTCGTTCTCCAGGACCCCCTAGTTGTGAAAAATTAACCCTTGCAGTGCAGGTTACGTGCTCATTTTGACCAGGGGGCAAAAATAAAGAAGAAATACTCACCTGATCCTCGGTTCCACCTGGCTGCTACACCGGTCTCTGCAACCTCTTCTGCCCTGGGCTCCGGTGTTCTAAGGACCCGTGATGTCATTATGTCTAATACGGGTCTACTAGACATCAAGACGCCGAGGGATATACCACAGCCAGAGTGAAGGGAGAGAGAAGTGAGTGGTCACTGCCGCAGGACCGAGGATCGGGTGTTTCTCCCGATTGCTCCAGTTTTCATAACCCCCCTCCCCCTTTACATGTTTTAGCTATTGTGTATCATTGGGGAACCCTTGTGGTGAGCGATTGGACCGGACTTTAGTAGTGTTCCTATTTCCCATGTGCCCGCAGGAAGAAAATGCATATAAAACGCACATAGAATGTTCCTTGCATTGCGCTTTTTATTTGAATGCAATGCCGTAAAAGCGTGCCAAAAAACACATGCGTTTTGAGGAAAAGGCACATATGTTATCTAACACGATGGAGCCCTAACAGGCAACACTTCTGATACGAGAACTGTGTAGACACGGCAAACATTGCATTGTTCCAGTAACTGCCAAGCATTGCCCGTTCTCTGCGACGGATACCAGGCGTACTGTCAAGCTACACACAGTGCAGTCATATGGTTTACATCAGGGGTAGGCAAACTCCAGCCTTCCAGCTGTGGTGAACCTACACATCCCATCATGCATCTGCCTCTGGGAGTTATGCCTGTGGCTGTAAGAGTCTTGCAATGCCTCATGGGACTTGTAGTGCCACAGCAGCTGGAAGGCCCGAGTTTGCCTACCTCTGGTCTACATCTTCAGAGAAAAACATAAACATTACTCCTATCCGATAATGAGGATTTTTAATAGCAAAAAGGGAGCAAGTTGGGAAATGTATAACTGAAAATGGAAATTACAATCTGGTGTAAAGTGTAGATTACATGTAGTTTGATAACCTGTATTTTTGACAATGTAACAATGTGTTGCCACTTTCCCATCTTCGGTGCCTTCCAGCTCGCTATCTTGTATCCATCTAGGGGAAGTGCTACATCAGGTTCTCGGTGAGGATCCCTCCATGCGTCAGGCTGCACGCTACGCTGTATTGTCCGCTGGCTCCATACTCCTTCCCCTTCGGCCAATCACGTGCTTCCATTGTGATGCTTGGCTGTCGCTTCCATGTAACACTTCAGCGTACAAAGACCCTCCGCAGATTCCAGATCGGGTTGCATTCTTTTCTCTGTATATGAAAGAGATTTTTCCACCCATCACTCAGTTGCACCGATCGCTCGCCCTGCTGCCCTGTTTGAAAAGGAAGGAGCTCGTGCTTTAATACTGAAGTCCAGTCAGTTGTAAAGGGACACAAATTTGTATTGCAGTTGTGTAACTGTAGGCAGATATAAAGGATGCAAATTACGGGCTCATTCCCACGTGTGTGCACGTTTGTATGGCATGCACACCGGTGCAGACTCCTGCTCCCGGGAGGTAATTGCGTGCAGCCGACTGTACCTGCCTATGGATGGCCATGGCTGAATGCGGCTACACACCGACCTGAACCTGCACACTTGTGCAGGTCTGGGTGCCCGCACTTAGACACTGCCTATGGGCCCATTCACACCAAAATCGAAAGGTACTTGCAAGGCAGCGGAGTGTCCATTGCCTTGCAATTGTACTTTCCGATTTCTGTGTGACCTCATCTGTTGTGGTGCCATTTTTTTTTAAGCTTTTTTTTTTTGGGTCAAGCTTTATGTGAAGTGACATGTCCAGTGGGATATACTTCTCTAAAGCTTGTGATGCTTTGCGTTGCTTTGGCACACGTTTTTGCAGCATTGCATTGCGCTGAAAAAAGTGGAGCATGCTCTGCTTTTTTTTTTTTCTTCAACGCACAGCATCACAACACATTGCACTTGTGTGAACCGTCCCATTCACAGCAATTCATTCCGATCCAGCGCTGACTCCTCTGTCCTTGCTGGCACTTCCGATCCCGCTGTGTCTGCATGTGTCCATAGACAATCACAATACAATTCAAGACCAGATGGTAAGGAGGGCCCTGCCCCTGAGGGCTTACAATCTAAAAGGGAGGGGGGAAGTGATACATGAGGAGGGAGCTGTGTGGGGATGAATTGTTTGAGAACGTGATGGTTCAGTGGTTGGGTTGAGGTGGGATAGGTTTCCCCTGAAGAGATGAGTCTTTAGGGATCGCCTAAAGGCAGTCAAGGTGGGCGACAGACAGACAGGTTGGGGTAAAGAATTCCAGAGGATGAGAGAGACTCTAGAGAAGTCCTGGAGGCGAGCATGGGAGGAGTTGACAAGGGAGCTGGAAAGCAGGAGGTCTTGAGAAGATCGGAGCCAACGGTTAGGGTGATACTTTGAGACCAGGTTTGAGATATATCCGGGGGTGGAGTTGTGGATGGCTTTGTAACTGATTGTTAATATTTTGAATGTTATCCTTTGGGCTATTGGAAGTGCAGGGATTGGCAGAGGGGGGATGCAGACACTGAGCGGTTGGTTAGGTGGATGAGTCTAGCAGCTGCATTCATGATAGACTGATAGGTGTGGGGCATGCCTGCTGCTTTTCTCTGAATGAGTAAAATAGGTTGAGAATATCCCCCCAATTCTTTTGATGTTACCCCCACCTTTTCAGGGCCAGCGCACACCTAGGCAATTTATCGTGCGGTTTGAGTCACGCGATATTGCGCAAAACACCGGTTCGCATTGAAGTCAATGGAGGCTGCTCACACCTTTTGCGGTTTGTCGCATGACCGAAATAGCCTGTCACGCGAAAAGGTGCAGGAGCTATTTTTGGGACAGTCGCGCGGTCGAAAACACGCGACAACATCTCGGCATCTGAATCGCCTAGGTGTGAACCTAGCCTCAATGACATGGGTGATTTCGTCACCCCTTTTATATGCAACAATGCTTGTAAGAACTCTCCTTACTAGCTTATCATAGGAGCTAATGTACACCTTGAAGGTGTGAAGATCATTTTAGCAAAGCTGCAGTCTTGCCCTGCCCATGCACCTTAATTGGACTGTATTTCTTAAATAGTTACATAGTATTTGAGGTTGAATAAAGACACGGGTCCATCAAGTTCGAATAAAACTATGACGGGAAGGATACAAGAGCATGCAAACGCCACTTCTTCTGTCTTTTTTTTTTTTATTTCTGGGGTAGAAAAAGTCGATTTCAATTACGTTTTCCATTGATACTACTCCATGTTTGCATATCTCTTTTAAGCTTCTATTTTAGTACACCATGGGACGCTCCGTTCCTAAGAAGCAACATAAAATCCTCTTTGCTGCTGGATATTAATTTTTAAAATTTAATCTGTTTTTCTGTTTCAAACAATAATGAATTGCTGGTAAATAATTGATTGTTGTTCTTCCTGTTGGGTCATGTGACCTTACCGCAGGTATGAGGTTAAAAGTGGTTGATGAGTGCTAAATAGGGAATGGTAGCTTTCTCTGGCTCACTAAAGGTGAACTCCAGAACTGAAAGTAACACTGACGGGAGTCATTCACAAAGCTGCTGAAGGCAGCCGAGTGAATAACCGAGCCGAAGTGAACAGAGCCAAACGAGGTTCGGCTAGTCACTCCGGGTCAGTACTGCTGATTTTAGCCGTACATCGGCTCTGTGCGGCTGCCTTTAGCTGTCATTTATGGGGTAAAAGGCCGGCCTTCGGCAGGCTATTTGCCCCGCTTCGGCTGTCACTTCAACTCAGTCGAGCTGAAGCACATGCCTTCGGCTCAACCGAGCAGCTCGGACGTCTTCGGCTGCTGTACAGGCTATTGTTAATAGCCTGTACAGCAGCCCTTCAGTTCGACTGAACCGAAGGGCTCCAGTGGCCGAAGAGAGCCGAAGGATCAGCTGAAGCTATGGTTGTATCCTTTGGCTCAATAGTGAATAACCCCCTTATTTTTTTTTTTTATAGCACCCCCCACTTCCTTCCTCTCCACGCTTGAAAATGAGCGTTTGTGTGCACGGTTTTCAGGCATGAGTATTTTTAGAATTAGCCAAAGCAAAATTGGTTACTAGGAGGAGGAAATGGTTAGGTGTGAAATTATGGGAACAGCACGTTTCTTGCCCTTTCCAGGCTTTTCTCATGCACTACCATGAG